TCTATCTGTCTATCTGTCTATCTGTCTATTTTTCTATCTGTCTATCTGTCTATCTGTCTCTCTGTCTATCTGTCTATCTGTCTATCTGTCTATCTGTCTATCTGTCTATCTGTCTATCTGTCTACCCGTCTATATGTGTAACTGTCTATCTGGCTATATGTGTATATTCTATCTGTCTATCTGTCTATCTGTCTATCTGTCTATCTGTCTATCTGTCTATCTGTCTATCTGTCTATCTGTATATATGTCTTTCTGTCTATCTGTCTATCTGTCTATCTATCTATCTGTATATTTGTCTATCTGTCTATTTGTCCATGTGTCTATCTTTCTATCTGTTTATCTGTCTATCTGGCTTTCTGTATATCTGTCTTTCTGTCTATCTGTCTATCTGTCTATCTGTCTATCTATCTATCTGTATATTTGTCTATCTGTCTTTTTGTCCATAAGTCTATCTGTCTATCTGCCTATCTGTCTTTCTGTCTATTTGTCTATCTGTTTATCCGTCTATCTGTCTGTATATCTATATGTCTGTCAGTTTATTTGACTATATGTCTATTTATCTATCCGTCTTGCTATATCCCTATCTGTTTATCTGCCTATTTATAGCAAATATCGTGAAAACATGATATTCTGTAAACCTGCATTACGTTGAACATTATTAACACTATATGTTCTAGACTTGTACATAATGACATTATTCATTAAAACTGCGTTTCAATTGAATGATTAGATTAAATCACGTGATGCGCTGTAAACATGGGCGGAGATAACTTAACTACGTTATATATATATTCTTGCCAATCTTATAAACTTTACTGTGCGGTAAATTCGTAATATGATTGTCTTGTGATACATGTCATGTGATACATGTCATGTGATACATGTCATGTGATGCAGACAACGACGTAGGAATTGTAATTACGTCAATTCACGTTAACTTGTAACATAAGATATTTATCTAAAGTTAGTTTATAGAGTAACTCTGTACTGTTTACTACGAGAGAGTAATCCTGGAATCCAATTTTAATAACACAGGTCGGATCGTCCCCATCATTTGGGATCGATGTATACAGCTTGTTGATGTGTCCTTGTGTGGCATTTAGAGCGGATTGAAACCCTGTCTTTATAAATCCAGATCGGATCGGCCCCATCAATTGGGATCAAAATATAGCTTGTTGGAAAGCTAGGCTTTGCCTCCCTGTGTGGCATTTAGAGCACTGAATTGATAGCTTGTTGGATAGCTAGCTACGCTTGTGTCTCTGTGTGGCATTTAATAATTGAAGAAAATCTACTATTTCTATACAAAATTATAAATATATGAATTTTCGTATAAATTTTACACTGTTTTATATCAAATTCTCGAGAAAAAAACATCAGATATAACTGTGTCGAGATCAAGAGCTAAAGTGATTAGCTTTAAGCCTATACCTCTTTCATTTTTCCTTTACAGTCTCTTATTAAGATTGTCTAATTCTAATGATATCTCCATTGGTTCTAATAAAATAAATGCGCTTTTGCAGTTACACAACAAATGGAAATAAACAGATTTTGAGAATAAAAAATATATGTCTCATTGATCAAAGTGTAGCGATGTGAATTTGACATTCCACTCTATCAGCAGAGAGGCACTTGAAATTTCTTCATACTATCAATTTATTTGTAGGGGAGTAAGATACATATCTTTTGTCCAACTTTTCAAGTCCTGCTTATTAACAAAATTTACCTCTATCTTTAATGGTTTGGTTGCAAGGAAGGCTTTTAAAAAAGTTCAAAAGTTTGTCAGAAAATGTTTAAAAATAAGTATTTTACTTTTGATAAATATCAACACACGTTAATCCATTTATCAAGGTCTTTTCAAATATATCAATTTTAGCCCTGTGGCTGTAGCTTAATTTAACAAAAAAGTTATTAACCATTTCTGTTTTTTAAACACCGACCTGCCGTATAAACTGTTCTCCACCCTATGCAAAAAAAAAATTTGTTTACAACTTTGAAGTTAAAAATGTAATTAGTCTTAGCGTTTTAATGTCAGCAATTTTTAAGCTAGAGCTAAAAAAAACCACAGGGGGAGGTGAAAACAACCCCCCCCCCCCCTCCAATCCTGATAGGGTTAAGAGTCTAGTTGCAAAGAAATAGGAACATGACAATGATAGTCTGTGGAGTAAACTCAGAACTTATTTAGATATTTTCAATTTTTATTTACAGCAATTTAATCACAGTATTTTATCAACTTTCAGGTTTCAATTCATCTTATACGCTCTAGCAGACACTATAGCGTCGATATATATATAAATTGAAATCTTGTGAGAAATTTTTTTTAGTTCAATTCATCTTGTCGCGTTTTGTAGTTCAGTGCTGTTCTACCTAATATATTTCTTTCTCATGGATGGTTCTAGTTCTAGCTCTAGGTTCTAGTTCTAGATCTAGTTCTAGTTCTAGTTCTAGTTCTAGTTCTAGTTCTAGTTCTAGTTCTAGTTCTAGTTCTAGTTCTAGTTCTAGTTCTAGTTCTAGTTCTAGTTCTAGTTCTAGTTCTAGTTCTAGTTCTAGTTCTAGTTCTAGTTCTAGTTCTAATTTTAGTTCTTATTCTAGCTCTAGTTCTAGTTATAGTTATAGTTCTAATTTTAGTTCTTATTCTAGTTCTAGTTCTAGTTATAGTTATAGTTCTAATTCTAGCTCTAGTTCTAGGTTTTAGCTCTAGTTCTAGTTCTAGTTCTAGTTCTAGATCTAGTTCTAGTTCTAGTTCTAGTTCTAGCTCTAGTTCTAGTTCTAGTTTTACTTCTTTCTATTTCTAGTTCTAGTTCTAGTTCAATGTTCTAGTTCTAGTTCTAGTTCTAGTACTAGTTCTAGTTCTAGTTCTAGTTCTAGTTCTAGTTCCGGTTCTAGTTCTAGTTCTTGTTCTAGTTCTAGTTCTAGTTCTAGTTCTAGTTTTAGATCTATTTCTAGTTCTAGTTCTAGTTCTAGTTCTAGTTCCAGTTCTAGTTCTAGTTCTAATTCTAGTTCCAGGTCTATTTCTAGTACTAGTTCTAGTTCTAGTTCTAGTTCTAGTTTTGGTTCTAGTTCTAGTTCTAGTTCTAGTTCTAGTTCTAGTTCTAGTTCTAGTTCTAGTTCCAGTTCTAGGTTTAGTTCTAGGTCTAGTTCTAGGTCTAGGCCTAGTTCTAGTTTTAGTTCTAGTTCTAGTTCTAGTTCTAGTTTTAGTTCTAGTTCTAGTTCAAGTTTAGTTTTAGTTCTAGTTCTAGTTCTATTTCTAGTTCTAGTTCTAGTTCTAGTTCTAGTTCTAGTTCTAGTTCTAGTTCTAGTTCTAGTTCTAGTTCTAGTTCTAGTTCTAGTTCTAGTTCTAGTTCTAGTTCTAGTTCTAGTTCTAGTTCTAGTTCTAGTTCTAGTTCTAGTTCTAGTTCTAGTTCTAGTTTTAGTTCTAGTTTTTCTTCTAGTTCTATTTCTAGTTCTATTTCCGGTTCTAATTCCAGGTCTAGTTCTAGGTCTAGTTCTAGTTCTAGAACTAGTTACGAACTTTCTCGTTTGATTTCTATTTTTCGCTCATCATTCTTGATGAAATAAATGGTTATTTAAACTTTTTCAAAAAGTATGATGCAAATTTAGATTTTGTTCTAGGAAAACTAAATGATAAAAGTTGGAAGCCCCCGGATTTAAAAACAGTTTGTAATATAACTTTTCTTTTAACATTTTCAAACTTTTCAAATTTAATCTTTTCCCATTAATTTCATTATTTCCTTCCTCAAACTGTTTAAATCTTTTTACAAGATTGCAACCCTTTTTAAATTATGGATTAATTAATTTTTATAATTTTAGAAAAGAAAATGATATTTTATGGAGTTCTGTTCTTAACTATTTTTGATATTGTTCTTGGACAACAATTACCATCCTACAATCGGGGTGCACAAGTAGTGGAAGGAGGGGGAGGAGGAGGTGGAGGAGGAGGAAATGGAGTAGGACCCCATCCCCTCATCATGGGACATAAATCATTCTCACAAATTTCAAATTTGAATTTTTCTTTTTAAATCCAACATTTGGTGGTTTCGGGATTAAATTTTATTATTTTCTGGCAATATTTCTCATGTGTTGGTTACACTGAACTAAGTATACTAAACTAAACATGCTTCAACTATTTAGCAGACTTTTAACGAAATGCTGTTTAGCTAAATTTGCAGTGCTCACAAGTTTTTAGACAGAAATGCTCAACTTACAGAGAAAATCTAGGTTCAAAAACTAACACGTCGTGCCAAAATGATAGTCTTATAGGTTTTTTTTATGAAATATGTGTGTACTTTCTAGATATAAATTATGATTTCTAGTTATAAAAAATATTTCTAGATATAAATTATATATTTCTAGTTATAAATTATATATTTCTAGATATAAACTATATTTTTCTTTACATATAAATTATATATTTCTAGATATAAATTCCTTGTTTAATTCTGAAAATCGAGCTCACAATTGTATGCGATTCCATAAGCGCCTGATCCAATCAGGGTTCAGTCCTGTGTTTGGTGTCTGAACCAATAAAAATTGCATGGCAGTATCATCTATCTTTCTATCTATCTCATTATCCAATTAGAGATGAACCGTATCTTTCTATCTTTCTATCTATCTATATATTTATCTATCTGTTTATCTATCTATTTACCTGTCTTTCTATCTATCCATCTATCTTTCTATCTATCCATCTATCTTTCTATCTATCTGTAAGCAATCTAGATCCGAGATACTTTAACGATCACTCTACTCAAAGTCTAATTAGAATCTAACTGACCCTATCTCTAGCCAAAATTCAAGGCTCTCTATCCTTAGCCAAAACTCAAGGCTATGTATACGTCCGTGTTAAGCGACAAATCGTATTGAACTAATTTATTATATATACAGGTGAACGAAACTGACCGGGCTAGCCCGGCAGGGTCAACATACAGATAATTAAGATATATTACTAGCATGGATAACATAGATAACATTACACATTGATATGGAGGAGAAGGAGAAGTAGAAGAAGGAGAGGGGGGAGCAATAAGAAAAGAAATAAATCTAAAGCTAGAAGACGTCCTACCCGGGAATCCAGGACTGGATTATCCGATTTATGGATCTGTTTTCAAAACTGGGTTTTCCTGTCAAAATCAGGTAATTTTTTAATTTGATTAAAAATAGGACTTGTTTCGCCAATACTTTTGGTTCTTAAAAAAAATTTTAAATTTTACAGGTTTACATTTTCAAATTTATATCAAATCTCTCCGATTCAATTTGAAAATGATTTTAAAAAATTTTATTATGAATAGTATACCTTGTTCAAAATGTAAATGATATTATTTTTTAAAAATCATTGTGCCGCGAAGCAATCTGAATTTAAGGGTTCAAAACATATACGAATTTAGGCTTTAAATCATGATGGACATTTTCACACAGGAAATACCTTTTTCGTGATTCATTTACACAATCTTAGATTTGGTCATTTAAGGAAGGGTTCACGAAATAACAAAATCTATAAGCGTAAAGTTCAAAGCTAAAAAAAAACTTTTTTCCTGGCTGAAAATTTTTCATGATTTACAGCTAAACATTTTTAATGCTATATTTGAGATAATAACTATAGAGTATCTTTCTTGTTAATAATTTCGTTTTATTAAGAATATCACAGTTTATCTGGCCCTTATTGACACAGGAAACCATTAAACAATTGGTTCTACTAAGTTTCTTATTTCATCTCATATTTTCATATCATAAATTTGGCTGGAGCACCGGAGCCAAATTCAGCTAAGATAGAATAATTCGTCAAATTTTTTTAAAAGAAATTTATCATTCATCAACATTTGAAGAATCGTGCTATTGATTTGAATTTTTCTTTGGTGCTCAAACTAATTGTGTTAGATTAAAATTTTACATTTCTTAAAGTGTAACTAAGTATTTTCAAATAAGTGAACAATTCATTTTAATGAAATAATTACAGGTAGAAGGAGGGTACTACGCTGACCCAGCTGCTGGCTGTCAGATGTTCCATGTATGCGCTAGAGTTTCAGAACTGCCAAACTCCTTATACAAGTATAATAAACTTATTCGATGAGGTAGTGATCCTTCATTTACAGAGTGACATGTCCGATTTATAACGGTATCCTTATTAAGGATTAATAAATCATCCTCATTTTCTCACTGAAAACTTTTACTATTGTAATGCTGTATGAATAAGACAAGAATTTATGCTGAAGAGGCAGTGAAGAAAGTTAACAATAGCTTCCTCTTTGGTTTTCACTTTTCAGAAAGGATACCGTTGTAACTTGGACATGCCACTCTGTTTTAAATGGAGGGTTACTAAAATTATGCCTAAAGTTCCTTAAAAATTGTTAAAAAAATTAAGGCATTTTTTTCAACATACAAAATATGTGTCATGTCTTTTTTTGTTGCTTTAACATTTTTCCGGGTTTATTTTGTAAAAAAATTCTCTAATGTTTTAATATATTGTATATACATATATATTATACACTGCAGTCTAATGTTGAATAACTTCTTTCTTTTGTTTTTGTTGTACTCAAGTTAATTATCTAGATACAGCTTCATTTGTCCCAACGGTACAGTATTCGATCAGCAGAGATTCATCTGTAATTGGTGGTTCAATGTAGATTGCTCAAGGCACGGACTCTATATGTTTATTCATGAATATTTCTTTCAATCCACAGACTTTAGAGATGTCAACGATAGTGTAACGTAACGTAAAATGTACGTTTTTGTACGTTACGTTACAATAATGTGTAACGTTTGGATATATTCTATATAACGTGAACGTTAAACGTTAACGTTATAGGAGCTCATACCTAACGTTAACGTTAAACGTTAACGTTAGAGGAACATACCCCCAACGTTAGCGTTTTGTGGAAATGTAACATTATTTTTCTAATATCTACAACTTTTTTTACCATAACGTTAAGAAATGTTTTGTTTCCAAAGGGAGCTTGAAAGTCTAACGTTTAAAAAATGAATTGAGATTTAATTGAATATCGTAACGAAAGGATTTCTATTTCAAAGTTCAACTTATAAAAAGTGTAACGCTGTATAACTGAAAAATGCATTACTGTTTATGAAAACGTTTTGAAACGTTTTCCCTTATAGCAAAATGAAAAATTCAACGTCGCATAAATGGGTTATTATTTTAATAATCAGGAAACGAAAGTTTTTTTACAAAGTAAAATTTCAGTAATGTAACGTATAAGATTTTAAAAAATGTAATTCTGTAAATCAAAACGTTTCATAACTTTTCTCTGAATACTAAATTGATTAGTCTAACGTTAGATATATGTCTGATGAAAATGTTGTTCATAAAACGTTAGACTATGAGGGCTGAGTTTTAATTTCAAAAGCGCAAAGAGCTTATGGTTTTTCATTTCAAGTTTAAAGAAAATGAGTTTATGCCAAAAACTCTAATTTTCATTTAATATATCCTTGCAACCCGATTTCTTAGACCATTAATATTGAAATATACAAGGTTTAAACCATCGGGTTGGAAAGATATAGGGATTAGTAAATTTGAAAAAAACTTAGTTCCTTAGTTTTTGATTTGCCATTGTTTGATGAAACCCACTAAAACTCTGGAAAAGGAATACGACATTAAGAAATTTTACATATGCATTTTCTGTTATAAAGCAAATGATTTACTAATTGCAAAAAAAATCAAATTTATTAAGTGGAACGGGTCTGTGAACAAACACAATTGCTGGGTTTCATGATTATTTGACCACTTGAAATCTTAACTTCAGTTGGCATGGTTCATGTTTTAGGTTGAAAAATTTAGAAATGTAGATACTTACTAAAATGCAACAATATTTCATTAAATGGAAAATGCGTGTTATGTTTTATTCATCAATAGATTTTTATAAAATTTTAGAATAGAAAAAAAACTGATTTTTAATCGATTTTTTTAAAAAGAAAAAATGTTAAATAATTTGTTGTTTGTGTTAAAAACAAATTTAGCACTTGTCTTACTATATTTAATATTTTTTTAACCCCAAACATGAACTCTGAAAACATTTTCATTGTGGTTTGAAAACTAAAGCAAATGCCGCTTTTTTACTCACTTTGTAAGTAACATAAAAAAAAAAAAACACAAAAAGAACTAAAAATTCGCCACAAATTATAATCTTTGCAAGCTGGTGTTATAGCCTTTTTATATTTCAAGCTATGACTTCTGTTAGATAAGAATGTCTAAAGGAATTGCATGTTGTTCACAAACTTTTATGTCTAATCCCTATATCCTTGCTACCCAATGTTGTAGACCTTACATATTTTAAACTATGAATTCTGTTAGATAGAAGAAAAGGGTCAGTCTGCATTGCGTAAAAAAAGAAAGAATTAACCCTAAACTAATCTAAAATAATTTAGAACTACTGTTAAAAATGCAAAAGTGGTTTGCCTTGCCGAATTTTAACTCATTTTATGAAGTGCCTAAAAACATGCCTAGTTTTAAACTCGTCAAATACACGATGATAATTTCAAGTGATCCTCCATTTAAAAAGGGCCATGCTCGATTCCCAATGATAACGTGTATACCTTTATCTGAAATTGATGATTTGAAAATTAGGAGTGTTTTCCTATCTTGTATCTTGTAAAAAATAAATATGATACATCATTTTCTTGGATATCTCATGCTGTATTCAGATTCGAAAACCATTTTTAAATATATTAAAATCTAAAGAAGTTATGGCCAAATAATGGTACTAAATTCCAGTTTTAAACTTTTTTATGTTTTTGATGAGTTTTTTTTAGCTCTGACTCTCTCAATTTTCAATTTTTTTAAACGCTTTTCCGATTTGAATTTAGCATTGAATTTCCAAGAAAATGATGTATAACATGAAAATAAAAAATAAATTTTTTTGTGGCCTTACGGTGAAAACGCAGCGACTTCCGGTGGGCGGTTGGCTCTATTCCAATATTGATCACCTCTACTGGACAATGGACATGCCACTCCATAAATGGAAGGTCACTTGAAATTACGTCTCTAGTCCCTTAAAGACACACTTTGAGTTGAAAGTCTAATGCTAAAAACTTTCATTTACAAATTTTAAAAATCGTTAAACATAATAATATTATAACATCTTTATATTGCATAATGCATATTCTTCTACATATTCTCAAAAAAAAGGTTAACAATACAACAGCAACATACAGGGTGAGTAAAAAAATGTAATTATCACGGAAAAAATCTTTCAATGCTTTCATTTAGAAACAATATTGTAACGTTAGAAACATTAAGGCTTGAACATTTTAATACAACGCAACGTATAGAACATTTTTTCAAATCTTTCTTAGAAACGAAACGAATAAACAGTTTTGATTGTCAGTTGTAAAAAAGTGTAACAAAAAAGTTTTCACAATAACGTTTCGATAAATCGTAACGTAAGAAAAAGTGCATTTTAGTAAAGTTTATAAACGTAATTAAAAGAGTTTATATTGGAAAATTTAAGATAAAACGTAACGTTAACAAAAAATATTCTTTTCGCTGAAATGCATTGTAACGTACAGAACTATGCCCCAATGACGTTTTATTAAAGCAAAACGTTTGTCATCTTTTAGATTTTAAACCAAGTGAAAGTGTAACGCAAGGTCTCTGAAAATATTTACCTTGCATGAAAGTGGAACGTTAAAAAATTGTGGTTATATTACATAAGCTTTAACGCAACGTTGGGAAAGTTTTTTTAAAACATCAAATGCAAAAGCGTAACGGAGCTTACTGTTTTTTCAATAACATTTACTAAAGCTTAACGTTGTATAAGGTATTCAAGTGCAGAAAATTCATTACGTAACGTTACTATATACCAAAAAATTTCAAAATGTGCAACGTAACGTTTCAAACGTTAATACTTTTGATAAACACTATCGTAACGAAAGCTAAAATCTAGAAAAAACAAAACGTTGACATCTCTATCAGGTAGATATAGATGCAGGGTTGACGCATCCTGACGTGCCGCAACGATCGTGTAAAAAAGGTTAAATGGGCTTAAAAAATGAAAATGTATAAGCAGTCAATGATCCATCTATGACTAACTGATCTGTGCTAGTATAGGCAGGGCGGTCCGCGTCAATGATCCATCTATGACTACCTGATCTATGCTAGTATAAGCAGGGCGGTCCGCGTCAATGATCCATCTATGACTATGCTGTGATATTCATGGATGTTTCTTTTAACCTGATAATTCTTCTCAGGAAAATATTGTACATTGTACAATCTGAAAGGAAAATATTGTACATTGTACAATCTGAAAGGAAAATATTGTACATTGTACAATCTGAAAGGAAAATATTGTACATTGTACAATCTAAAAGGAAAAAAGAGAGATTTCAACGGAATTTCAAGCTACCATTAATTGAAGCTTTAAATGTCTGATTAACAAAGGTACCCGGCGATTATCCCTTTATGGAAGTATTCTGTTTTGATCAATCACAATCGTAAATCGATATATGGCTGTCCAAAAATAAGGGACACTTAAGATAACGTTTATATTCCATTTAACGCTCGCCGGAAACTTTAAATTAATAATCCCTATATCTTTGCCACCTTCGATTTACAACTTTGATATTTCAATCAAAATACTTGTTGTTTTTCTTGAATTCATAGTTTAAAATATCAAAAATCTGCGACGTAAGGTTGCAAAGATTTAAAACTTATTTAAAATTTGCGCGGGGAGGGTTCAATTGTTTACAAATACAAATTACAAAGGTTTTTAAAGATAGAAGGATTTTTTATTTTAAAATAGCAGATATATTTTATAAATATATATAATATACATAATAGTCCGTGGGTTCAGAGCTGAAAGTTTGTACACGCTAAACGAAGGAAAATTTAGTTTAAAAAATATTTTTTTAATAATTCTCCTTTCAAGTTTGCAGTATTAAGATATATATATATATGCAGTGGGAACCATAAATTAGAATATAAATTATCATCGTCATCTATTCTTCATATAAACTAAAAGCTGAAGTGTCCGGCGCTGCCTGTGGAATTTTAAAAACATTAAAACATCAGGATACACCTGAGTTCCCTAAAAAATGGTTAAGCCATTTTGGTCCAGCCGTTTAGTGGCTATTGTTAACATACTAGGCTCTTACGGCGTTTCACGCCCATCTTCTATTTCAACTTTTAATTGTGGCTTTATCTGTGAGCATCTTCTCTTTGTACTGTATAAACATATTAAGTGTTTATTTAATTGTCAATACTAATATTCAAATATCTACATAAAACCACCCTCTAAAAGTACGATCACTCTATATACAAGTGTACAGTGTTAGATACGTAAACATATCGTGATGTATACAACCGACCGCTATATTAATTAATTAATAGGGAGGTCGGTTGTGTACATCTGAGCTGAGCTTTACCTCTTCGTTTTATTAATCTATGACTTAAATGTACCCTTACAGTCCCGGCTGAAGTAGTATTGAATACATGTTTCCATCACAAATACTTTTAAGTAAATATATTTATATAATATATTGTATAATATATTTGATGGCCCCCCGAGAATCCCTGATAAAAGATTTCTATGGATAAATCATCTTCTGACACTATCAACAGTGTAGTTTTATCCATCACCGCAAAAAGGAAAAGAAAGTACTTTATACTTGAGAACTTATACAGAACACGTCTTCTTACATCACTTTTATTTTAGTTTCAGAACTTGTCAAAATTATTTTTAAAATATCAATTCAGTTCATGCAATTCAGAAAATGTAGATACAAAAGGGGAGAAAAAGAAAATGTAAACTAAAGATCGTCTTTTTGCGCAGCATTCCTTTTTAATAACAATAATTAACAAAATTCCTAAATGTGGTCTGTTTTTTTAAATAATATGGGAGTTTTGCATAAGTCTAACCATCCTCATATGCGTGTTAGATTTTTCTTTAAAGATTAGAATATGAACATATAAATATATATGGTTAAAATGTCGTCTACCTACTGCATAGTTTTCCCGTTCTAATTGCTCGTATCGAAGAATGTTCTGTCATCTAGAATTTTCTTATTTATTAAATGAAAAAATATTCAAATTTAAGCATCATTGGAAGCATGTAAAAATCATTTAATTAGAAAAATAAATTTAAACTGGTTTGACTGCTCCAGACTTGGCAGTAGAGAGAGCTCAATTTGAAAACAACGAAGAGACTAATTCAGGACTTTTTGATAAATCTAAATATAGTTTTGAACCCTTATTCAAGAAAGAAATTAAATAACAAAAATGTTACGTTACATACTGTTACTAGAATCTATCAATGCTACTGTGTATTTAAAAACTTTTGATTGCAACTTGGGATCGAATTTGAATAATTACAAAGCTAAGCTACCTATCCACCAGTTCTAATCCTGAATTACCGATTCAAATCCTCATGAATCTTTAACTTTGAATCGGTGATTCAAAATTTGAACCAGTGCCAGGTAGTTTAACGACCTATCTCCAATCCATAAAAGTGTATGTTATTTCTAAAACTAGAAATTCAAAAAGAGAAAGAATTAGGAGTGATTGCAGTTCAAACCGATCAGTCTGATAAAAATGGCGCTCCAAATAAAGATCAGGGTGTTCCCAATACATATTATGGAGCTCCAAATAAAGATCAGGGTGCACCCAATATAAATTTCGGAGCTTCAAATAAAGATCTGGGTTCTCCCAATTCAAATTATGGAGCTCCAAATGAAGATCTTGGTGCTTTCAAAACAATTTATGAAGCTCCAAAAGAATATCAAGTCGCTTCTAATACGAAATATGGAGCTCCCGCAGATATTGAACAGGATGTTCTAAACACAAATTATGGAGCACCAAATGGTGAGTATTCTACACAGGAAGCTCCAAACAATGAACAACAAAGAATCGATCCAACCATTTTTGGAGCCTTAGAAAAACTTCGAGAATCACGGTATGCCCTCTCAACATTTTAGTAATTTACAAAGAAATTGACTCTTTACCACCAGCTTAAATTTTCCAATCCCTTTCTCTTCGTAACACGAAGGTGCAAAACCTTTGATATTTCAAACTTAGATTTTTTGATCTAACAGAAATAATAGTTTGAATTCTCTCATGTCTATCACATTTGGTTGCAAAGATTATCGGGATTGGAAAATCAGAGTTTGTGGCAAAAACTTAAATCCGTTGTAAAAACTTGTTAAAAAGGACATGGCTTTCTTAAAATTTTTTTTTTTAAGTTTTCATTGTTTCCTTAAACATGAAAAATTCTTTTTGAACAGAGGAAAAAGGTCTTTGCATTTCATTATACAATTACAAATATGGTAGACATATTTTTTCTTTGAAATCGGACAGATTATCAAACAGTAAATGATGAAAGAAGAGTTAAACACTTCGTTGGATCTAGTTTTACCCTTAACATATTATTTCCCTTCTCTCATTTTGGGTGAAAAAATACTTTTTTAATTTGCGTTTGCTGATCAGAAGCAATGGAGAAATTCACAAAAATAATCACTTTTCCGCCCATAATACTTCTTTCACATTTTAGATTAAGGTTTCAAGGTACTGTTGTAAATGGGGAATTGCCATCTTGAAATTGAACCAGATCCACGGATTAAGACTTAAACAATCTCTACGGATTAAAATTAAAACCAGCTCAACGGAATTAAGAATATTAAAAACAGTTCCACGGAAATTAAGACTATTAAAAACAGTTCCACGGAATTAAGACTAAAACCGGCTCCACGGAATAAAACTAAAGTTAGCTCCATCGAAATTATAAACTATTATGTTCACTTTGGCACATGGTTAAAAACTATTAAAACTGCTGCAGTGCAAAAGCCATTTTCTGAAAAATTTTTTGATTTAACATTTTTGATTTACCATGAATTATTCTTAGGAAGAACAAGTTTGCAAAGAAATGGATTCTTTGAGGATTTGTTGCCGAGGACCAAATCCAGAACATAAAAGTTAAAATTTATAAATCAAAAAAATAAATGTAAAACAAATGATATTGATAAAATTGTAATAACTATCATGTATTTTTCTGCAAAATTTTACTTTTTTTTGCGAAATTTTTTTTTGCTTGCAGCGTTAGTTTATACAATGGTGTTGATAAACTCTAACATTAATTGCAAGTATAATATGACAGACACCCTGTGGTTTTAGTGTTCTTCGGCTAGACGTTATTGTTATTCTAGGAATTATATTTATTTTGAAACTTGACTATATTCTAGGAATGGAATTCTAAATATTCTAGGAATGGAATTCTAAATATTTTAGGGATTCTAAATATTCTAGGGATTCTAAATATTCTAAGGATTCTAAATATTCTAAGGATTCTAAATATTCTAGGGATTCTAAATATGCTTGGGATTCTATATATTCTAGATATTTAAAATATTCCAGGGATTCTAAATATTTTAGGATTCTAAATATTTTAGGGATTCTAAATATTCTAGGGATTCTAAATATTCTAGGAATTCTAAATATTCTAGGGATTCTAAATATTCTAGGTATCTAAAATATTCTGGGGATTCTGAATATTCTAGGAATTCTAAATATTCTGGGGATTCTGAATATGCTAGGGATTCTAAATATACTTGGGATTCTATATTTTCTAGGTATCTAAAATATTCTAGGGATTCTGAATATTTTAGGGATTCTAAATATTTAAGGAATTCTAAATATTCTAGAGATTCTAAATATTTTAGGAATTCTAAATATTCTCGGGATTCTAAATATTTTAAGGATTCTAAATACTCTAGGATTCTAGGTGTTTTAGGGATTCTAAATATTCTGAGGATTCAGAATTTTCTAGGAAAAATGTTTTGTGTCATGTCGTTATCCTAAAATGTGCATCAAAATATTTGTTTTGTATTATGTTGTAAAACATGTTGTATATTTCATGTTCTTCACATACTCGAGTAAATGTATAACTTTAAGTGGTTTCACTTAACTAAAGAGTATAGTTTCCTAATGGTTAGTAAGGAGGGGGGGNAACACCTTAATGCTAGAGGTGAAACACCCCTCTCCAATAACTCTGTGAAGAGCACTTCCCATGACACAAGATCAAATGCCTTACTCAGATCCATTGCACAAGCATAAACTGCTCTACCAGCTCTGTTATAATAATCCACTACAGAGTTGACCCCCCAGCTGCACATTGTAGTACTGGCTAGCTTCTGAAACCCAAACTGAAGTTCATCTGTGGTCAGCTTATCAGAGTTTAGAATTAATATCAACCAGTCAAACCATTTTAGAATCAAGCTGCCAATGGCAATTGCCCTGTAATTGTCACTGATAGCAATGTCATCTAAGTTGTCCTTCACTATGGGCACTAATGTGCACAGTAGTAAAAAAGCAGGAATTTTGCCTGTAGCCAAAAACCATTTAAATAGGTTGGTCACATGATCTATTAACTTGTTTGATGCATTAATTAAGCAGTCAGAGCTGAAGTCAAATAATGCATCACTTTTCATTGCTTTCATTTTATTTAGTGCATCTTTGACTGACTGGCTGTTAACTTTATTTATATCATCCTGTAATCCATGATGAACTCTTTCTTGTATATTTTATGCTTAGAAGAAACTACTTCAATTCTATTTAAAGTTAACAGTATAAATAGTAGAAAGAAAAATAAAAGAAAACTTTAGTTTACAAACACAGTGAAAAGGAATATAAACCCATTTTCAAGTGATATCTTATTAATTGACTCTCATCACTCCTGTGTCCCGAGTCCATTAGTGCCTGATCCAATCTGGATTCAATCGTGTGTTTGGTGTCTAATCTGAACCAATGGAAATTGCATGGCGGTAACAACTATCATTCTATCTATCTCATCATCTAATATTCATATTAGTAAATGGAAATATGTTCTTCTACTGAAACTATAGTGGCATATCTTATTCCCATATCTAATGAGGGGGGAATTTGTTTTCCTCCATGTTTGTTTTTGATTCAAAACTAGATCCCAATTCAGGTCTGCATGCAAAAAATCAGAGATAAATCTCTAGTAATAAGCTCAGAAAGCTTTATCGGCCTTTTTAAGAGGGAAAATTTGGGAAAGGGTGAGGGAAGGGTATATGGAGATGGGGAAATGATTCTAGAGTACTGAATTGGCCTAGTTAATGACTTTTGATACCCCACGCCCACATGGACCTAACACAAATTTTTTGAAAATGCCAATTCAGGAGTTCATGCAAAAAATTAGAGAAAAATCTCTAAAATCAAAGTCAGACCCACCCCCCAACCCTTTGTATGGAAATGTGGACATTCCTCTTTACAAATCAGAAATGTTATATTCTCGTAATGGAAGATTAGAACTTGAAACACACGAACAGTTCCTTTAAGCCCCATGGAAGGAAGACGGGAAGGTATGGGGAGGGGGGTTGAACTATATATAAGAAATACCCCGGTAGAAAGGATAAATAAATCTAACTGATAGCCCATTTATTTGTCCCGCACAGTTCTCCTGGAAATCATGTTTTAACATAAACAAACATTTTTATACAGTTTGGTTTAGGTTTATATATAACATAGCTATTCCAAATCAAACAAAAGTAAAATGTTTGTATAAGAAGAACAAACATGTTTTAAAGTTAATGTACGACTGGTGTGTTTAATAAGTTCTGCAAAAAAAAAATTTTGAGGCACTTCTAAATGTTTCAACTCTTAGCCCTGTATTTTTTATTTTTTTCATTATGTTTATACCAAATACATTTTTGGACAGGTTGGCGTCAAGTAGATTGTTGTTGTGATGTTGTGATTGTTGTGATATAAGGAATGTTTTATGAAGGTGAATTAGCTTCATCGTCAAAGCATAAAAATATCTAGAATATTGACCAGAGAAAGAGGACACTTTGCTGGCTCGGTTACACAAAAAAGTTTTTTAATAGACGATGTTAAAATCAAGCCAAACCCTAAAACATGATCCAGGACGCATTTTAAAAACGATTTTATGAACTTTAATGGTGGTTTAATTGGGCTAAGAAGAAACAAATAAAAATTTGAAGGTTCATGACATGTCCGGGCGAGAAAAGACCATCAAGACCCGAAAAATTGTCAAAAATATTTAAAAGCAAGGGTTCAAGAAGCATGGTTGCCAGACAGCCTTATAAATGATTTTACGTTGTAAGCAAAGTTGTAAAGCAAGACTGAAAAATGAACAAAGATCTGGGTTAAACTTGTCCCAAAGTCCCTGACGAAGGATCAAAAGGATGCCATTGATAAAGGATCTTAAACGAAAATCAAAACCAGAAAATTCCTCAAAAGTCTTTAATACATTTAATACTCAATTTCCTTTTTCGCTTGATCGCTTTTGGAGGGTCTACCACAGACTTTAATGCATCAAGTTTAATATTATTTAGAAATTTCTAGTTGTGACGAACGAATATGATATACTTTCGTAAGAACGCTCCTTACATTAAAACAAATTTATGATTGACATCAACTGGTCTGAAAAATAATCCGCTAAAGATTTATTTTTTTCAAAAAAATTACAGGACTAAGAGTTGAGACATCTAGAAGTTCCTCAAAAATATGTTTGCAAAACTATTGAACACACCTCGTGACTGGATAATGGAAATAAGTCTTTGCCATAAACTTTGATTTTCCAATCTCTATATCTTTGCAACCCAATGTCATAGACCTTAGATATTTCAAATTATGGATTCTGTTGGACCAAATAATCAAAGTTTGAAATATCCAAACAGTACAACATCAGGTTGCAATGAAAAAGGAATCGCAAAATTTGAGTTGCAAATATTTAATTTTAATACTTGTGCCTCATGAGATTACAAATCGGACCAGTGACAAATATGACATCAGTAAGTTTAGTGTGATTAATTTTACATATCATTGATATATTCCTTGTTATTATATCCAAACTCTGGATATCTTCCTTGTTTATATTTACCAAACCCTGGATTTATTCCTTACATTTACCAAAACCCTGGATATATTCCTTGTTTATATTTACCAAACCCTGGATATATTCCTTGTATACATTTACCAAACCCTGGATATATTCCTTGTTTATTTTTACCAAACCCTGGATATATTCCTTGCATACATTTACCAAACCCTGGATATATTCCTCGTTTATATTGACCAAACCATAGATATATTCCTTGTATACATTTACCAAACTATGGATATATTCCTTGTTTACATTTACCAAACCCTGGATATATTGCTTGCATATATTTACCAATCCCTGGATATATTCCATATTTATATTTACCAAACCCTGGATATATTCCTTGTATACATTTACCAAACCTTGGTTATATTCCTCGTTTAAATTTACCAAAAAATGGATATATTCCTTGTATACATTTACCAAACCCTGGATATATTGCTTGTTTATATTTACCAATCCCTGGATATATTCCTTATTTATATTTACCAAACCCTGGATATATTCCTTGTTTATATTTACCAAACCCTGGATATATTCCTTGTATACTATAAATACATTTACCAAACAACGTATAATTTACTTCTTGATGGTCAAGGGAGGGGAAAAAGTTTGAAAGTTTGCCAAAATCATTTACAGGGATATTTATGGAAGGAGAGCTACAACCTTTAATCCTGAGTTAGAAACATTCAACAAAACCTTTATCTTTTATTCCTTTGCTATTTCCTTCCTCCTCCTTCCCTACTTTTCATCTTCCTTCTTCCTCTTCTTCCATTCTTTTCTTCCTCTTATTTTTTCCTTCTTTTCTACTTCTTTTTCTTCTACCCTTCTTTTTTTGCTTTTATTTTTTCCTTCTTTTCTTCTTCTTCCTCCTCTTTCTTTTCTTCTTCTTCCTCCTCCTTCTTTTGTTCTTCTTCCTTCTCCCTCTTTTCTTCTTCTTCCTCTCTTTTCTTTTTCTTTCTCTTCCTTCCTCTCTTCCTCTTCCTTCTCCATTTCTTCTTCTTCCTCCTCCTCCTTCTTTACTTCTTCTTTCTCTTCCTTCTTCTCTTCCTCTTCCTTCTCCATTTTTTCTTCTTTTTTCTCCTCCTTCTT